TTTACAGGGACAGTAGCACACTGCGAGAGGAGGTACCTTTCTATCTTGCCTTCCGCCATTGCTAAAATGACATGGTGTTGTTCACGGCAGCTGGTGTACCGTGTACAGAAGCGGTCTACCTCAGCCGCCATGAACTCAGGCAACGACTGCGAGGCTGCCCGGGCAATCTCAGCCCCCGTAGGCCCACCGCCTTAGGCTCGGGTACCGTAACAACCGGTCTTACTACCCCTGGGGCCGCTAACCCCGAGAAATGCTGCGCCCTCAAACCTGGCGCTTGCTGACGCGCTGCTTCCGCCTTCTTCACTGCCTTCGCTGCACATCTCGCCTCCTTTTTCTTGTCGAGCGCTGACTTAGGGCCCCTCTCCTTCTGGAAAGGCTCTAACGCTTCATCATTTGTCTCACTTACGGCCTTCGCCAGGCCCACGCCCCATCGACGGTTGGGGGTCTGCTGATGCACTCAGATCGACTATCGGCTCCCCTGCCTGGTAGGCCGCCAAGCGCTTCTGCATAGCTGCCATGTACTCGGCCGCAGAAGCGGCTGGCTCATCAGGAGTCTCGGCTTGGGCATTCACCTCCGAGATGAGAACTGTGAGCAGAGAACGCCCACACATAAAAACTATTAACTCCTGGAAGACCTCGAACATGCGTTCCGGGTCCTGTCGCAAGGATCGAGCGAGATTCGCGGTGACTGCGACTTTATCGCCCTTGCTAAACCTCGGCCAAACGCCGGCATACAACCGCACATAAGCAACCAACAGTCCGGATCCGCCCTCATTGCAGGCAGCATCCGCGACTGGAGGGTCATAAAGAAGTCCTGGCTGAGAGATTGCTTTAAAATGCGCACTCTCTCAGCCATCTGACCCTCTCCAAGCCCCGTATAGGCAACCTTGGTTCGGACATGCTCTCGCTCCAAAGCCAAAGGATATCAGCCTCGCCGCCCGTAAGCACTACTCCTACCGGCTTCACCATCTCTATACTTCTGATGCTAAATTGACTCAAATGTTCAAAATCACACAACAAATCAGATCGATCTCACTGTGAATCACTAGGAAACGTAGTTCACTATCAATCCGGCAATTCTGATTCAACTAACCTACACTAAGCACACAAGTAGAAAAGAACACGGAGGCATAATGCCAGCTAGTCAATGTCTTTAACTACTGAATATTAAGGTAGTGAACAAATGCTCCTTGTATTTTACAGTGACACATTTTTT